TTTTCATTTTCATTAGAACTCTGGCTGCAGCATTTTGGATCAGCTGAAGGCTTTTAACTACAGTTAGAAGCTAGGCAGCCATGGTAGAAACCAGAAGGGACAGATATGGACCCGTCTGTAAAGAGACTTTCAGACCAGATCATCGTCTGGAGGCTGTAGACACAGACGTTATGGTGCTGGATGCAGGAAGTATAGAAGAAACAGAAGGAGGGAGAGGATGGTGGAGAAAAAGAGGAAGACTCTAGAGACAGAGATGATGAAGGTCTGCAGTGATGCTTCTATCAGCTGGAGAAAACTGGATGTTTCACCCCATGAAGATGTTGCCAGCAGGCGTGTTTAGGGGGAACAGTTGTTAGCGCACGGAGGCCTTAGTCTTCACCCATCTTGGTTTGAATCCGACCTGCGGTCCTTTGCAGCATGTCTCTCCCTCTCTCTCACACCCCCTTTCCTGATGAGCCACTAATGCATTTAAAAACTAAAAAAATAAATAACTGTAGCCAACAATTCCTTTGAATTAAAGCGATTATTAATTCTGGTTCTGATCATTTTATCTTCTGCTTTGGTTTTCTCTTAAATCGTTCTCGTATCTTCTGCACCTTTTATGTCCTCAAAGCCAAACAGAGCATACCCATGGTCAGGAAAGGTAGTTTATCATAGGAGCCATGGGGATAGACGCTGTACAGGTGAGCTCCAGTCACATCAACTCCTCCAACAATCACGGATGAACCCATGTGTCCCTGGTACCTGAAAAGAGAAGGTTTTAGTTCCTGTTTTTAAGATGTCTGAAGGTCAAGAAGCTCCTTCTGTTGATATCAGGAAACCTGTTGGAAAGAGCAAACATTGATTCCGCTCACAGTTATAGATTCCTGAACGCACCCACTATGGTACATGAAAGGTGTCCCACTCTATTCTATTCTATTCTGTTCTATTGTGTTTATTTTCCTTTGTCCAGCATTTTATTGTCATTCCACTTTCACAACTACCGAGCAACGTAATGAATTCTCTGCATTTAACCCATCCCCTTTGGGAGCAGTGGGCTGCTATTGTGCGGCGCCCGGGGAGCAGTGTGGGATTAAGGGTCTTGCTCAGGGACCCAGAGTGGCAGTCTGTGGGAGTGGGGCTCAAACTCAGAATCTCAAGATTTCAAGCTCTATGCTTTAACCACCAGGCCACCACTCCCCACTGTTCTGTTCTATTCTATTTTATTCTATTATATTCTATTCTGCTCTATTCTATTTTATTCCTTTCAGAATTCTGCCCTTTAATTTTATTTTTGAGTTTTCAGTTACAGTTTGTTTTATGTCATTCTATTTCTTGACTGTGACAGACTGATGACCTGTCCAGGGTGGACCCTGCCTCTCACCCATAGACTGAGGGAGACAGACACCGGATGGATGGATTTTTTGAGCTACTCTCTGTTCTCACTTTGTTCCAGTGTCATTTCTTCTAGTTCCCTTCTAGTTGTGTCAGCTTTGGCTGTGGTTTGAGGACCCAAATGCAGAGGCAGAGATGAGTTCTTGCAGTTGTAATGAATAAACACTGGTAAAAGACAGAGGCAGGAATCCAAAATCCAACTTAAAATGTAAAACTTAACCAGAACCACGGAGACATCAGGGAAAACAAGCATGAGGAGCCAGACAAAGACAAAGAGAGATGTGGAACCAGCACTGAAGAACTGCACAGGGAGAGTATTTATGGTTGACTGAACAGGGAGAGGACTAACGAGAACATTGGGAGCAGGTGTGAACAGCGGCTTCCAGGAAAAGAGCTAAGGAAAAGCAAACT